TATATATATATGTATATAAGTATATTATAATATATAACAAATAACAATCATAAAATGATCTTAGCATCATGATAGGGAACATGTACGTCTACAAACAGAAGTGGTACAAACTACAATAATATGAAATTAATTTGATTAAATTCTATTTACGTATATTTTATAAAAATTTGAATATCATTTTCTTAAATTAAAATTTATTTTATAGCATTAACACAAAAATCATATGTGACATTATCCCGAAGTGGAAGAAGATTGAAGACGTCGCTTTTTTTTCTTTGGTCTCGATTTTTTTTCATTTTCGGATTTTCTATATTTAGATTCTTTGCGTGATTTATGTTTTTCTTTACAATCGGAACCGTTACGATCGGAATGTTTCGTCGGATACATGTCATTTTTCGATGATATAGACATTGTTAAAATTGTACTTGCATTGGATTGTGATAAATTAAATATTCTGCTACTGGATCTATAGCGCTCCTTATTTTTATAATTTTCTTTACGTTTTGATTTTTTCCAATGCGAATAGGATTTATTGGAATAATCACTACACTGACTACAAGATCTTAAACAATCATCTTCCGAATCTGAAGAATAACAAATTTTCTTTTTTGATTTAGATTTATATTCACTTCTTGACATATCTTTATTTATTGAGGCACTGTCGTCTTGATTTCCAAACTCGTTTGTATTTCGACATTCTCGGTGTTTATGATTCGGCCTTTTATCTCGTTCAGAAGCATTAGAAGATATACTGTTACTTCTAGATCTAGATTGTCTGTTTTCGCAGCACTTCGGATCTTTATTCTTACATTTTAACTTTTCCAAATTGAAAGTTTTGTCTTTATTTCTCGTTGTTTTTCCATTTTTCGCTGTATAATTTGTTATGCTAGAGGAACAATCTCTTTTCGATTTATATTCTCTGTAACACTTCTTGGTTTTCATTTTGTTATCAGTCTCTGTGCTACTATTGTCACTAGATGAATCCTCTGAATAGCTTTCTTCTCTTTTAATAAGTTTTATTCGCCCTGTACCTTTAGCCTGTACTCTATATCTTGGCTTTCTCAATCGTTTTTCGTTACATTTCTTTAATAAACTTTCAGATGAGCTGGAATCACTAGAGGATATTCTCTTTTTCTTAGATGATTTATTCCGGCTTCCTGTCCCATCTGATCTTTTATACTTTTGTGCTTTTTTCCCTGATTTTTTCGAACGGTTTCGTCTACTTGGTCTCGGATTGTTATCACTGTCGGATAAAACATCAGTACTTGACATTGAATAAGATGACGAAGACAATCCTTTCGCTTCCTTGACATAAGATGTACTTGGTAATGATGTATTTTCCAAATGTATTCTTTTTGTAGTTGATCTAATATAGTAATAAAATATGTGATGATAAATATTAAAAATTGCATATTACAATTATATTAATGCACATATAAATAATTTTTAAAGAAATTTTATCAAAGAAATTTTAAATGATTAAGAAATTAAACGCATTGCGATATGATTTTTTTATAACTTACTGCATATTTCCATTTATTGTATGAGAAACACACACATGCTCAGTGTCAGAAGAAAGTAATTCTATGATTTCTGGTGTTCTTTCATGACGTGGTTTTACATAACCAATTATTTCACAATCGCCATCTGATTCAGAGGAACTCGATGAAATAATTAACAGTTCTGGTACAATATTAGATGTTTCTACTCTGCGAAACATCTGTCCTGCTGCACTAGGACCTAAAATGATTATACAATTTTATATGTATGTATACATATATATTTTTTTAGTTGAATTGAATTTTGGATAGAATCAAATTGAATATCTCCTCTGTTCAAAATTCAGTTCAACTAAAAAATATCTTTCTGGGCTCAAATTGTAAGTACATATGTCTTTCTCAAAAGTATCAGTCTCAACAGTATCAGTACGACCTGATGAAATGAAAAGATTCATGAAACATTGACATTAGCAATGAATTAAGATACGGCGAAGAACCCGCACAATCCCGCTTTAAACACTTTTTTCTTGGTTAATCGTGAAATTCACGAATTTTGTATCATTTGAATGATTTAAGCATTTTCAATCGGTACTTCGTAAACAATAGCGGTCATGTTAGGCCCATCGTATTGAATTTCCCAAAAGGCTAGAGTGCTAAAGAAAGTAGACACGTGTATCTATGATTTGAGCCCAGAAAGAAATTTTTTTTAATAAACTGAATTTTGGACAGAGAGAGTATTCAATTTGACAGAGAATGCCCCATATACGGAATGAGGCATTTTAACCGCCTTGGATATCTCAGAAACTAAAAAAGACACATGAAAAAGTTTTATATAAAAGGTGTAGGTGTTTTCTTGGAGGAAAAAAGAATAAAAATAATAGATTTTGTATATGGGGCATTATCAAGATTAAATCGATTTTTTTTTTAATGCCAGAATTTAATAACTAGTGTCAAAAGCTTTTCAAAACTATAATGAAGTTATTTTCCATTAAGTACTTCTCCATTAAGTTATAAAGGAAATTACAGTACCGCCTGCACTACCAAAGGTGTCTGACTAACTCAACCATTAAAATCTCTTGAATGTTATTCAGGATCATGTCCTGGATAACATTTGTCAAGATCAAGACCATTGGAGATTGTATTTATTTTCATTTTTATATAAAAATAAATAATTTTAGTGCAAAAATGAAAATAAGAGGAATAATCTTCAATAGCCTTGATCTTAACAAATGTTATCCAGGGCATGATCCTAAACAACATTCAAGAAGTTTTAGCCGTCGGACACGTTGGACACGTTGAGTAATGCTGTCAGCGGTATTGTAATTTCAAAACTTTATAAAGCTTTATACTTGAAAAGTATTTAATGGAAAATAACTTTATTATAGTGTTTTGAAAAGCTTTTGACTAATTATTAAATTCTGATATTAAAAATAGAATGTTCCATTACAAAAAAATCGATTTAATCTTGGGTAATGCCCCATATATGGCCAGGTGTATAAACTTAAATCCGCTGTTTTTTAGTCAGAAAAACACGATTGGGTATCATCCTCATCCAAAAGAGTCTGCAATTGACAGTCCTCAACCTTCCTGGGCCGATTTTCACGCTTCTTGTCACTCAGATCAAAATTGTCGTCATTG